TCGACCGGTTAAACAGTAGCATCTTACTAAATAAGTTTCAGAGAAGCACATGGGTGATCCCCAACTTTCTTTTGTACAGGCGTCTAGAAGCGAGTGGGCGAATCTGTGTCAAATCCTATCAAAGTGGAATGTGGTGTGCATATAGGACCCCCGTCTGTTTCTGATTTTCATTAACTGAAGAGCTTAATCACTTCACGCCGTTTTGTTTGCGCCCGCAATACCAAAGTTTGGCGGTCGACCAAAGTGCCAGACGACCGCAGACAGCTTCAAAACGAACTCGACCTCGTCAGTCCAGAATTATCCCCATTTAACGTTACTAAATGCCGATCGCTACATCGACGACACTAAGTCGTTTACATCTATAAGGATCAGGATCTCTAGCATTGTTCTCATGAAAAATGAACTCCGTGTGCTAGTGCAAAAAGACCATGGATTCTCGGAGCAACCTGAAATAGCATTCAAAATTGGGGGCTCTTAAGGAGAGAATCAGGTTACTTCGACCCATCCATTTTCAAATCAGCGTAGAAATTTCTTTTCGAATACTTCTCTTCAGACTAATACATGTAGAAAAAATGGTTAAAGTTGCCACAGGCTAAGATAGCTGGGCTAGAGTTGATTCAGTCCAAACAGGCCACTTAATATGTTGATCAAATTCTTCAGCCAACGAAGATATTTACGCACATGAGGTCACGAGGTCACCGCCTGAGACTGAATCAAGAGCCGCCCACGGTGAGATCAGCACCAGGGGAAAATGTAGCGTCTGTACTAGCACCCCCTGTTTGCAAGTTTCGGTTGCATTAGCCGGACCGCTATGGTCTCGGTCATCATTAGTAGGCGCCTTTTAATCTCTCTTGGTTAGCGTTTTGGTGCAGCGTAGACAACTTTAAAAGCTTCCGAGATAACGACTTGATGCCCGCTTTGGATTAAATTTTCCAATATAGAGCTATTGATATGTTCCACTGATTGATTCCATAATGCTGTTGAGCAATGTTCTGCTATCTGTTTGGCCAAGCGTCTGGTCGTGCGTCCGAGGTATCTTCACCTCAGGTGCAAGTAAATTGATATAGGATAAAAGATGCGGGCATGACTGGGAGTCAATGTTTAAGACGTTGGGTAATAAACGTGGCAGGTTCTGCAACAACATACAACTGGGCAGCAGGAAAGGACTTGGCTATTGCATTTAGAAGTCTCCTGTTCAATAATTCAAAGGCGACATCTCCTTTAGAAAGGACAGAAAGATAAACATCTTTTTTCGGCACCGTCACAGTTGTTTCGTCTGTCATCGATCACAGGATGTCTCCGAATGAAGGGAGCGGGATAACCATTATCCTGTATGTACCGTCCTAAGGATGCGATGCTTTTCGCTCTTTAAAGTTCCGGAACTACAAATCTTAATGTCTTAATGTCTTCGTCCCAGTAGCTCACTAGCTACGTAACACAGGCTAGTGCGGAACAGCACCAGACGCGTTTCGCCTTAGTGGGACTCGTCAGTGGTGCGCATTCCCTCGGCCCTCTACTGGGGATCGAACCCATAACCGCCAGAGACAGATGCCAACTAGCCAGTAGTTTACGTCACTGAGTCATGGGGGACGTCGTCTGGGCTACATAGTTTGCAAGCTAACTGGGATAGAGCAAGACCTATCTTTCACTGCCACGCAGGTTACTACCTTAGCAGATGACAGGTCATGACTTCCTCTCACTAGACAATACCTCCATAGCATTTGAAACTAGGAGGCCAAATTTTATACTACTAATGAATAGGAGGATTTTGACTGCAATTACAAATACAATTAAAATCCTTCAGTCATTAATAATACTACAATTTTTGTTAGCGTGATAATACAGGTATCGAACTAGGTTTCGTTTGTACTTCAACGGTACAAAGCTGTGAAAATGTATATATTGGTCACTTTAAGGTGACTTACGATAGGCACTTCTCTAGAGCGAGCCATTCTCACGTCTACCTAGCAATATATCCATAAAGCCTAGCTTTTCATCGCCTTCAATTTCGCATGTAAACTTCAAAGATAAGTGCGCGCTACTGAATTGATTTAGCAGATGGGCTACGTCAGCGTTTGAATCACAAATAATAAAGGTATCATCCAAGTATCTACAGTAGGAATCAAAATGTTTTGTGTATACATACGTCCTCATGTAGAGTATACGATTCAAACATCGCAGTCATGGCTGAAGTGGGATCTCATTGTCTTTGAAATTTTACATGCCACCAAAAACGTTAAAGGGCTATACCACATACCCAAGAACAGCGATTGAGTATTCTGAGAGGTAGCATCTCAAATTGAAAAAACTGTGTGAACGGTTCAGACAAAGTTTAGCTCGGTAAGTCACTGTTTTCGATGATACGCTGTTTATAGTCGTTTTTCTTTCAGTTTGGAAAACCCTCATCGGACACCCTGCGGGACATGTAAATCTTGAGCCATTTTATCCGCAATATAAATAAATAAATTCTTCGACGATGCCTGGTAAGTAATAGAGGTAGGCGGAGCCGATATCCAGATAGCAGGTTGCGCGTGGGCTTACCACAGAGCATGTGAGCTGTCTGCTGCATGTGAAGGTCATCAGCACGGGTGTGGGGTACGACCTTCGACTGTTCCGCCAAATATGGGGATCGAATGCGAATTGATTGGCCAGTAAATACAATCCCGCGTCAAAGGAGGCGAACCATTTTGCCAAATGTGGTAAACCCGTGGGACGGAATTCATTCACGCTGGCTGAGAACCAGATGCAGAAGACCGGATGGCCTATGCTTCCAAAATTAGTATGTTTCGTTCACCAATAAATAGAGTTGACCTACCTTGGAGAATATACGCTGTCTGCCGAGCCTTGGCCTTTGTATTCCTTCGGTTGGCTGGGCGCATGGCTGAGCAATCGAACGGTCGAAGTCCTGCACGTGAAGCAAAGTAGCAGTACAACAGCAAGTATGGCTGTGAAAATCCACGGAATAAGCAGTTTTTCGAAGATTCCCAGTAGGACAGATGTGCACGTAACCGGGCAATACTTATGAGATTCCTTTTTGGGCATCAGCCGGTATCCAAGTGTCAACAATCACACTCATGGTGAGGCATTCGTTGAAGAGGTCTGTTAAAACTTGGTGTGAGAGAGAAAGCACACTTACAAAGCTAATGCGGAGAGCCTAAGTACTACGAGCTTTGCTTGCTTGTGAAGAATGCCTTGGTCGAAGTGCGCAGCTGGACTTGAGCAGATAAAGGAGGACAAGGGGGTTGCACTTGATGAAGAGGAGCTAAATTCATAATGTATTTCGTCCACACCCACGTCGCCACTCTGGAAGCAGGCGCTTTTACTAATATTGTGACAGTTATGGTTGCGTAAGACCGCTTCAAGTACAAATTAATTGGCTTTTTAACTGTCGAACTTAGGTTCTAGATGCAAGCGACCATCCTGCATTTATAAGCTCTATGTGTAGTCTTTCGAGGTCGCTCCGGCAGTGATGGTGACATACTGTCTGCCAAGAGGACAACACAGATAAAGGCACGAATAAGGGAGTCTAAAAGATGGTCGCATTTAATCAACAAGTCGTCATCATAGAGGACTGAAAAATAAGTGAAACATTGTTATAATTGCTTCTTAGACGCGCCACAGGTATAACCGACTGATACGACTCCTAGTTGAATGAACGAACTTGAGGTAGAATGGTACAGCACGCGTATAACGGATTGGTACAGCTCCTAGTTGAATGAACGGACTCGGGACGGAATTGTACACCACGCATATAACGGAATGACACGACTCCTAGTTGAATGAACGAATTCGAAACAGAATGGTACATGGCATGGATAAGATAGCCGACAGAATTCGAATTCGCACACCCGGAGACTTAGACACAACAAGGCTCCTAATCGGAGGCAGACTTCACACGCAATCCAGAAAAGAGCAAGAACAAAGATGGAGCTTTCGCCCCGGGCACTCTTACTAGCCGGGCCAAGGCGATTACAGCGCAGTCAAGCCTAGCTTATATACCGCGATTGTAGAAGGATTTGCGTAAACAAACCCTGGTAGTAAAGCAAGTGAAGTAGCACTATGTAAATATGCCAACGGAACAGGTCGGAAGTAAATGTTGGTAGATATGATGGGTGAAGGGGAAATGAATGTTTCTGATAAGAAGCTGTAGTGTCCATGTCGCGGAAAGTTGGCTGAAAACAGGAATGTTTTCATAAGTACAAAGAAAATGTTTCATGTCTTGAAGGTGGGCCGGAAACAGGCGCAAAAGCTGATGGAACATGTGCACTTGTCTGCTGCGAGTCCCAGCGACTTACGTAGCTTCAAGCTTGCGGTTTTATGGAGAGGTTGGGTCCCTGTAACAAGCATCGAGTGTAGCGGAGAGTTTCGGAGCTGCTCTCTCTTAGCAATGCATTCTGTACGTTTCGTCCTGATTTGAACTTTCCAGGTGAAGAGAGTGGGATCCGCTTGCGGTTGTGCAGCAACGAAGCAGCCGTATCGGTACTAAGGATACCTTCCGTAACCTGGAGCAGCCTGTAAAAGCAACCTAGAAGATGCGCACAAGAAGTCGAGTGGTACTGACACAAGTATTATAACAATCAAACTAGTTTTTGTTGTTGAGATTAGACGTGCGCGTGTCGCAATCTAAACACACAACGGGTATTCCAAAAAACAACAATGAATACATCGCCGATGCTCCAAGCGTTTAAGCAGAGCCCTCTGATCTGGTGATCAAGAGGCCAACCATGAACCACTACGTCCCGAACTCCAACCCAATGCCGGTCATTCCTGTCTGAAGAACCCTAACAAAGATAACATCGGAGATGGAATGCAGTTTTGTGCTCGGGCAGTGAGTGGTAGCTCAAACTGCGTGTGTGTCGGTGGTAACCCCAGAAAGCAATGATCCGTTGTGGACCGGATTTCGAAAATTAAAAAGACAAAACAATTGGCAAATTTACGTGGCAAGGATCCAGGAGTGGTATAAAGTGAACTGCCCCGGAGGTTAGGTGGAAAAAAACGATGATTGCACAACCACTTATATAATGGGCGAAATATCCACAGCCAGGTAGTAAAATGGCAACCAGGAACCGGGTATAGATGTCAAAACTGAATGCGTGAATAGTGAGAACAACAAAGTTACACGGAGCAGTGACCGTCTCTGGAGAAAAACAGATACCCCTTGGTGTGACCGTGCACCATAGTACGTTATTCGCATCACAAACGCTTTAAAGATGAAGTAAAACTAGTTCCAAGTGGAATGCTCCTTCAACCGAATGACAACAAGTGAGCTTGTAAAGCTCGAAGTTGTGTCGACGATAGAACCAGGCGTGAAGGTGTAGCCTGGTCCGAGGCACCAGGGAAGACCAAACGTGACACCAGACGATCGCTCTCCATCGGCTGCTGTTGAGGCGCTAGTATTTGCCGCAACCACGCGGATGGAAATCTGGCGAAATCGGAGGAGATCATTGCGTGCGGGAATTGTTCTGCGATCATCTCCTTCGACAATTTTTGGAACTACGAAGCGATGAGAAGGAAACACAAAGTGAGGGATGTAAGTGGCCTGGCGAGGGAAGGATACGATGTATGCCCCGATTATGAGTAAAATACATTTAGTATAATGGACTGATGACAATATAGGTCACAAAGTACTGTCCGGTATCGACAACGACACCAAGGGAAAAGAGCAAGTGATCTGTTACACTCGTGTCTCCGTGTAGATGAACATCGAGCTGGGACGACATCCGGCCTTGTCGAGATGTATGCCAGTTAAGAGCTGTTGACTGACTGCGAAGGAAGTACGAAACGTGTCAGCCTGCTAAGACAAAGGCGGCCCGCACAAACACATATAATAAGGATGGTGAAAAGCTTAGAGGCGAGAATGATTTCGAGAGCTGTGCATGTGTTTGGAGCTGTATCGTAGCGAATGACACAACGGATGAGACCGGTGCGCTCATCAAATTACGTGTCTTACACATGGATCGGATGTTAGTCATCAGCGAAGATGGCATCGCGCAGCCATCGGAAAGACTACTACCCATGATGGAGGACTGTCGCGTCTCCTTCGGAAACCCAGGGTGCAACAATATGAAACAATGAGTGTAATCGAGCAGAGGATTCCACTTCAGCACAAAGCAAGACTCTACACAAGGACTGATGTTGGTTTGACAAGCATAGGACATGTTCGTTTTAAGGTTGCTGTACTGAGCTATTCGCCTAAGTTAACTTACGTGACACATGCTGCGCTTCAAATATTACGCGAGCCGTTGATTGATTGGATAGATGACTATTTCCGACTGGAGCGAATATCGAAAAGTTGCATAACGGCTCATTCCGCCATCACAATTACTAACCCAAAGAAGTTGCTAGTCGTCACCTGGAGAAGGATCCTGTAGTTCTGAGTGGTAGTACCGTATTAGTAGAGGAATTCCATGAAGGAACGAGCCAATGCCCAGTCATCGCATCCCGCACTCTACGTATATGAGTAACTTGGCGTTGGTACTCACAAAATGAGCATGGCCCCTCGTTGGGTGAGGTATATCTGCAGCCCCGTGCTTTAGCAATACCCTCAGACAGCTGCACGGCAATTAACCTATCCATCGGTGGGTGTGGGTCGGATGCAGAACAACAGCATGTTATGCGGTTTTATTAACTCAGATGTGCATTGGATGTAGAGAACGGGATAGAAGCCGCTGGTAGTGCCTTCGTGTGCGCAGTCGTCTTGACAAGTAAATTTGGAAACAAGTGATGCTCGGCATGCTTCAGAACGAAGGCTTAGGAAAAGAGTAGAACAGATGGCCCATGACATTTGCTCAAGTGTCAACAGACACATAACACTAGTAATAAAGACAACAACAACAAGTGAAATGCAATGATAGGAAATACTGTGTTGTGTGTTCCGTACAAGGAATTCATCAGGCCGCATAGTGATGTGCTATTCATCGACTAGAGCCAGGGTACCAAATATTGAGCAAACTGTGAATCAGATAAACAGTGATACCGATTTTCTCATGGTCGCATCTCAACAACTCAACACATGCTGATACCGAAGTTCGTAAACGGAGATTCGTCACCGCTACACTTGGTAAGGGAACGACTTCCCGTTTAGAAAAACGCTGAACGGAGGTTCGGAAAATTATAAGGCGGCAAGCAATAACTTCATCAAAATCAGAGCCTCATAAGCCACTTGGCCGCTTACTGTCAGAGCACACACGCAGGCGCATACTGGGCTGTACAAAAGTAGGAATACTTACCCGCTCCAAATCTGCATGCAAGTTGGCGATGTGGGAAACCTGCTGAAGCCATTGACTAGTGGCGCTGGGCATGGGGCGCACAATCGCGGCAGGCACAGAACCGTCACCGGCAGCACAGGGCGGCATGGGCGCTGGTTTCTGCTCCACCTGTGGTAATAACACCACCTTGGGGCGAGCCAGTGCTGCGTATATCTGGGTCTGCAGCTGTGCAATTTGGCGATCAACATCGGCTAAAGTGTGCTTTTTTGTCAAACGAGTCTTGGCTCCAACCGAATCCGCTGTGGCCGCATCTCCATGTGCAACTTCAACAGGTGGAACACGACGCATAGACCGCTTCAGCGGTTTCAAGCTCTGCATTTGAAACTAAATGTGATATACAATGTCATAAGTGGGACGGTGATGCGACCAATCTGGTTGAGGTAATATGAGAAAGAAAATGCGCACTACGAAGGAGCACAAAACATTTTTAAGTCCAACACTGCAGTTCCACCATTATTTAAATTCCATGTGTGGACTGATGAAAATGAAGACAAATTTCGGGATATTTAGTTGCGGTTAATATCAGAATGCTTGTAGATCAGACGAGGAGCATTTATTACGGACGTTAAGGATTCACTCCTAGTGTGAACTACATCCAGATGATGAGAAGCGATAACAACTAGGGTGTAACAACATTCGGAGTCAGATTTAATGCGTTTACTGTGGCAACCAAACGTTAAGAAAGTGCGACGCTTAGCAGTAACGGTGATCAAATGCTTAACATAGAGGATGGTGTACAAAGGATATCGGTAAATTGAGCAGCGGATATTTCAGGTTCTGTAGGTGATATTGAGACCAGACAGAAGGCTAGGATAGGCTGCATGACTATACCTCAAGCTACATGTGTTGTCGGTCCGTTTTGCTAAGAGTTGCACTACGCGAACATAAAAACGCCAGATTGGATCACTCGATCGCTTGTTTTGCTTAGTCGACGCGCTTGAAATGCGAAGCAATCAACCGAAAAGGATTTGATAATGCACATTATATGGTTCGGGCTCCTCAAACGTTGGCAAACCGTGAGCACCGCGAGTTCGGACGACAACAATGACACCACAATGAGGTGATATGCAAAGGAATGTTGGGAGGTCAAAAAAGCCGGATGAGTAGGTTGCAAGCAAAAGCTCCAATTGTTACACTTTTAGAACCCACTGCTCCTTATCAGCCATGACTAGGAACCAGATAACAGCTTTCAAAAGATACTCACCAGGATTTTCTCGCCGCGTAACTTCGAATTGTCTGCTGACAGCTGACGAACAGCTTCCCGCAAGGCATCGATCTAAAAGAGTAAATGTAAGACAGATTGGGATGTGGGGAGAACAGAGACCGGGGTTAGTTAACAAAGAGGTGCGTCACAAATAGATCGCGTGTAATTCAGGCAGAGGTGAAGGGCTCAACAATGCAGTTTACCTCCAAAGCAAGGAAGGCTGAGTCTCTTGAAGCAGCTCTGGCAGATGCCGTCCCTGGGGTTGGTGGGGTCCCGACAGTGTGACCCGGAGAAGGTGGCTGCCGAGTCGGTGAGGTGGCTGCAATGAAAATGTACAGCATCCGGCAATATAATCGACTAATTAAATAACACATGTTCGTCGAAGTGAAGTGGCATCAGTTGTCTTGAGTTACGCCATCATAAAATAATAAATGGAGCTTTATACTGATGACTCATTGCAGTGGCTTGCCAGTCAGATAGATCTCCACATGCTCGGATAATAAACGAGCTGCGGTTTCATCCTATTGGGACTCGCCAACGGTGTGAATCCTCCGGTTCCACCAGAAATTGAATCCAAGACAACTAGCTGCTTGCGCCACTACTCGGCAGCTTGTGCTACTAGGCTACGAAGGACGGCAGCGGACTGCCATGACTTGCAAGCTAACTGCGATAAAGCGCAAGTCATAGTCCACTGTCACGTAAGCTATGGACGTAACAGAAGATAGAGTTGGACCCATGGAGTCACGACTTCCGCTAACAACAGTTATATACAAGAACCGTTAGGAGTTGAATAGAGAAAGGGAATGATAAAGAATGGCACAAGAGATCTAGTACGGGAAAACTGCCATCCATATATTTTGACTATAGAAGTCAACGTTAGGACCAAATCAAACAAGAAGCCACAAATGAAGAAAATTTCAACGCTGTACTCAGATTTCAAATTATGATTCCGGTATTATACAACAAAGAAAGTAAAGAAAACGTTACCGCATATTACCGAAGATAAGCGGATGATTTTTGACAATTTTTTGTCTCTGTAGAGGGGAGGTCGGATTATATAAAGGTAATAAGGGATTTTAAAAGTCACATGCAAAATCCACTAAGGAATTCACTGCATACCTCTGCTCTTATCTCCCATTATCACCACCCGCTAGTGACGGACGGTATACCAGACAGGCATTTTAAGTGTCTATAACTGGACACGTTACTATTGTGTCGAAAATTCTATATATGTTGCACATCTGACGTTGGCGACGGATGGCAGTAGCGAATCTAAAGCCCTTAAGCATTACGTTATGCCAGGTGATCCGGTGCCTTGAAAGTATAACGTCGTCGCACACCTGACCGAGAACTTTGTTGTCATCCACTGCTCCCCTGTGGTTCATATGCGTGAGGCCCCGACTATGCCTTAGCATATGACTTGACGTGTGGTCAATACACTATCCGGTGAGGTGAAAGTCTGTTCTAACTGCCCTACGCCCCACCAACCGCCATTATAACACATTACGGTCACCACAACCGACCAATGGTAGAGCAGTTTTCAATGGAACTCACTTAAGCGAAAGTAAGTAGTGACGACGTCGAAAGCGTGGATAAACTATTTCGTTTCTCATTTGCTAATTTTTAGGGGTCGGCTAACACATAGACTTACGACTTTAGACAAATTTGAAGTGGCAAAGTCATAGTGTCGGCTTATGTATGGACAGGCTTATATTTGATAACATACGGTAATAATTTATGCGTAGAACCCAAATCAGAAGGGAAACTTTGAAATAGTGAATAAATTAACTCCGGTGCCCACTAGCTCCGTAGGTGGCTTTGGCTTTGGAAAACTATCTGTACTAATAAGACGCAGGTAGTCGCCGTTTCGATGAAATGGCCGTCAGACAAAACGCAGCTCCATCTAGATAGGTAGATCGACCGTTCCGAACTGTTATTCCATAGTTAAGAAGAATGCTAAATTATGCAGCTGGACTACACAAACAGAATAGACGAAGTCCGTAACAAGGAGCGTAACCCCCTGTGTCAGTGTATTCAGTAGCAATGGTATGCATATGAATGCGAGTACAAGAGAGCCATACAGAGTCCGAGCAGCACTCAGTGGACATCTCTACTAAAGGCAGAGAGGATGTTTTGTTTGGAGAAAGACAAAAAAATCTGATAATCATGAGACACCTTATTTGTCGTAAATGGCTCAAAGAAACCTTGCCGTAGCATCCTACTCGGATTGGGGAGTCTGAGCACAAATGACCTTATCTGACAAACCTCCATGGGGTTAAGCAGCGTGGATAGCGATTAACGCCAAGTGGATAGAGAGCGATCTTCAGGTGTAAGGCGATGACGCCAGACGAAGCACCGCATCAACACATGAGAAATCGCATCCCCTGCTCGGTCGGAGGTCGTTATGGTTTTCAAGGCAGTAACATCTATGCGAATGGTTTAGTGATGATGAGTAAGAGATCTGAAACATTTCAACGTTGTATGACATCCACCGGCCATCGATGTAGGTGAAAGTGAAGTAGTGCGAGGTAAACACTGCGATATCTTTAGAAATCGAACACTGGAAAAAGCACAATCGCTTCAATCAGTAACCCTCGAAAACTTAAGAGGAAATATATATATATATATATATATATATATATATATATATATTAGGGCGTAACGAAAATCAGCATCGTAAAAGTGCCGGTTTAGATTCGGAAGGTGTTACTTATAATAAATGGCGCACAACTTCAGGAGTGTAGAAGTAGGAGCGAATCCGTTCACCAGGTCATTGACGTGCGAATGCGAATTGCTTGCTGCACACCGATGCCGTGCACTAGAGTGCTGTGAAAACCGTGTTGCCTATTCCAGGTAATACACCAACCCTGGTAACACCTGTGGATAGCTGTTAAACTTATACTGACAGTTACAATAAAACCTCCGAGGTTGACCACCTCTGTATAAACTAACCACATCTCATTTGACCGTTTTATTTTTCATTGAACGTTCACCAGGTAAATCTTGTGGATCCAGACCTTTGTATATTGACCACTTCAGCACAGTCGTTTGAATGGTCAATTTACGGAGGTTTCACTATACTTAAAAACTACTTGCAACCACTGACTTTACCACTGTTGATCGTAATGGAACAGGCTGAAATCAATATGAGTCTGTTGGTTTCTTTTGACGTTGCGCTTGAATCACTCAAGCTCTTGTCGGACACTGTTGGGAGGCACTAGCTTTAATTGGTTTACTCCCTGACTCTTACAAACAACCTAGCTTCCATCGTGACAGAGGTTGCAGCGACCATACCTGCACAATCCGCCGGGTGCTTGAAATTCATCTTACCACCATAAAGACTATTATGGTAGCTTTGCTTGACACGAAGGCTGCATTTAAGCCAGCTGATAACAATTTGTAGTGGCAATGCATATATTTTAATGCTATGGGGAGGAATGTGTCCCGATTGTAAGACATCCATGCTGTAATTTCTGCAGCGGCATTAAAGTCCAAAGAGGAGCTACCCAATGACATCAACAATCTGGGTTTCACGGAGCTGTGCTAGCGCACCATCTCTCTCAATTTTTATAATCAAAGTGCTGGTGAATGATATGACTTCTTCTACGTTCGAGATGAACGGATATTCGCATGGATAGAATCCAGTCGCTGTACATGTGCTGTTGAATAGACCGTCGCTGGGTGTTGCGCGGTGTGGCATAATCTTCGGTGAACATCTGGGTACACGGAGCACAGTTGCTCAATAGAAATGAGATGTTCCCTTGTTGGGGGCTCCTCATGACTACTCTCAACGAAACTTCAGTCAGCGTTCCAAATGCAACATGTGGGCCTAATGCAGATGGCACGGACTTTCCGTGAAATAATATAAAACGGTCGGAATATGAGAAATTGGCTTACGGTGAAATTGAATTGGAGAAACCCACTGATTGATCAAAAGTCTGTGTAAGCGAACATATGTTTTCGGTAATTCTTCATCAGGCTTTTACAATTACATGAAATGCAAAATTTTGTATACAGACCCAACGGGTCATCAGTCAGCCAAATTGATCCTAGTGCGCTATGATAAACCGTCGGTAAGATTCCAGTTGTAGTCGCACGCGCGCACAGGTCAACCGCAGTCCGTTCTGGCCAAGGTAGACTCAAGGCGTAAGTGAACCTTTTCCTGCGTGCACAGTGTTGGTTCGTACACCCGAATGGCGATGGCTTTTGCGGCGTCTGATATCGGCTTATGGAAAGACTTAGATCGATTTTCTGGGGCCTGATAGATTACTTTGAACAAATCAGCCGACTTGATGACGTGACACGTAATGCAAGATGCGTGGCGATGGCAAGGTTGGTGACCTTTTGGCCTCCATTTCCGAGCCAGGCCGGATGGTGTTCCCTCACCCTTTCGGATAAGCGTCTTGTCGTACGACCAACGTAGCGTGCTCCACAGGAACAGGTAAAGGTATGAACGGGTGGCTTATCCTTGAGGTTTAGTCTCACCATTGGGCTACTGGTGAACCGGATTTGCAGCCTCGCCGCTGGGAATGTATTCCTGAGTGTGGACGAGAGACGGCGGAATAGATTCTCTGATACTATTTCCCCTTTGTAAGGCAGTTGCAGGAAATTGTGCGCAGACCATCAAGTAAGGCAATCTAGCGACTACTACTAACGGATACCGGCCGCAGTACAAGTTATGATGAAGATTCCGCAAAAGGATATCCCCTTACATACGATTAGTCGCTTGGGAAAAAGGTGAACAGATCAGTCAATAAAATAGCCAGGTTAAAAAGCAGAGAAAGGCTAGAAATAACAATACGATACTTTACGTATGGCAAATACATGCCAGTGGTCAACAGCAAATTCTGTTTCGCGATGTCTGTCTGAAAGCGGAGGATCAAAAGGCATCAATGGCTAGTTGAGCTCTAATCGCCTGCGAGGGCTTTCTTATGTGCTGAGCGTGTTGACTACTTCCTCAACACTGTGATCAACTGGGTGAAGCTCCGAAGTGGCAGATCGATAAGATTGCAAAAAGAGTAGGAGGAAACTCACTTAAAGACTGAATCGAAGTAACGCTTGTCGTCTCAGTGGATGTAGTCCCAGAAATCAGACACAGTAGGAGTCAATTACATCATCGAATGTGATGGAGGGTTGCGCGATACCAGTGGCGCGCTTGCAATCGTTCGTCAATTTCTGACTCGGAATAATCCTACCGGACAACTTTTAGTTCCCGTTAATTCACATTTAACTAGTCATGCTAATAATATAATTTTGGCGCCGTAAACCGAACGAAAAAGTACATGGCTGTATACCGAATAACCGGTAGACCAGTTGCCGTACTGGCAACAGCACCCAAACGCCACGCGATTATTTCAACGGAGGATAACCGGTAACTGGTAACTTGCCAGTTCGTGCACATCAAAGTCATGAAATTATAGCTGTCAGGATTTCACCGCAGCGACATCCATCCGCGGAGTTAAGAACACTGAAGTATGACCTGGATAAATTGATACAATCCAGAGGCCCAAACAGAATACACCTCGGATCTGATGCGTGCTAATGCCTGCATCATGTGCGAAGTCAATAAGGAGACAAAACGTTGGCATTATGATTGCAGGCCGGCTCGTGATGTTAAGGAGGATAGCCTGCCTTGTAATCCTTGTAATCGAAGGGGACCGGACGACCCTTGCAGTATCCTTAGCCCACCCGCGACTGGTGTTGGTTAGGCGACAGCGAAGCGTCGGTACAGCGTACCGGCGTACTGCTGAGGTTTTTTGCCTATTATGATTGCAGCGTGCTATTTTCGCACTAGGTTTATGCAGGCATTTCGACCATACCGGGAGGAGTTATACAAACCATTCAGCAAATAGACAGTGGCGGGACAATCTAGTTCTGGTGAGAAACGGTGCATGAGTTACCCGTAGCAACAGGAGCCTTGATCAGCCCTTCGAAAAGTGCCTTCTTGCTCAACGACTTCAGTTTTTCTCTCAGTTCAGCTTTCTCCTGCTCCAGTACTTCGATGTCCGATTGCAAAGCATCGATGGCATGTTCGTGTTCGCTGAAAACCATAAGGCATGTGAAATCGAGTTAAAAATTATATCCCGAGGAATCATTGGATACACAAACACTTAAATAGAGTAAGAAAAATCATGGATTTTACGTTGTTTCCTAACTTCAAAAATCAAGATACTGCGATAAATGTCTGAAATGCATCGCATCCAACTAGAAAGAGACAGCAAATATTGCACAAAGTGCAATAGATACGAGTTCTTGCCGACGAGATTCCATAAATACCATAGACCAAGCAACACCACATACACACGGGTTCAAATATATGCTTAGGGACATCCGTTTTCGGAGTTGGCTATTACCGAGATTGCAAATAGCAACAGGACGTCTGCGCCTAATAAGGGAACATGGTTGGTTTGCGATGCACCACCCACACACCCCATATCCAGTGTAAACCCGAAGAAATAAGACCGGAAGGCATGTGCCTAAAAGCCACGTTTCACCAACGGAGCCGGCCCACATTCCTTCACAGGCAAACACAAGCACACTGTATTTGCGGAATCAACCGCACACAAGGCGGTGGCTGGACTGTGGTCCACTCCACAATGAGTCCATGGAACCACTCTTCGAGCCTAACACGGCCACAAGGACCGTGCACCCCGTTCCCTCCAGCAACGACCAACTGTCTCCTGGAGCCAGTATGGATGAGGTAGTGGGTAATAGACAGGTAGGCACCTTGTCAACATGCACATCAAGCGCAGCCACACCGGGGATATCAAGCAACAGCCAATCACTTGAAATAACATTATCAAATAAAACAAATCTGTTAAAGCATACGACTATGCAGACATAACTCTTCGCTAAAGTAGAATATGAAGTAAAGTGGTTAGCAATGAATGCGCGATAAATGCTACAAACGCAATAAAGTTAACGAAGATAAATACAATTGGCGTAAGCAAAGTGTGCAAGTTAATAAAAGATTATTCAGGTAAGCAGAACAAACCAAGTAAAGTGAAATGAAATTTATCCAGCTTAAAAAGACCTAGTTTAAGTGTAAGTTGGTTTAGCCCAACTGCGGTGAAGAAGCATCATGAACGCAACATCGGCCTCAGCATAAGGCTGAATATAGAGCTAAGAAAAAAACCATGGGAAGCAATGTGAAGTACAACTTGACCAAAAATATAACGAAGCGTTTTTATTTTCTGTCTTTGCTTCTGCAAGTCAAGCGTTAGACTGCAAACATTTGTTGAGGTAAATAAACGTTGCGGGCTGCTTGCTCATTTCCAAAACGTAGATAATGCCCAAAGGAACGTAAGAAAATGCGCTTGCAAATAGATCGCTTTCGGTAACTCACAACTAGCAAATACGTTTACAAGGATAACTGGGGTAAGCATAAAATAACCAAAGCTGGAAAAAAGTGGTGGTGTGTCTGAACCAGCACAATTTATTCGAACGGAAGTTAAGTCGATCGACTCAGGTGATGAGAGCCTATGTCGTCAATGAAAACGAGAAATAACGCAGTTAAAACGCTGCTTCCAAACGTTCTTCCCACCTCTTTTATAAAAAAAACGCACTGCGGTTCGTGAACGCAGTGAGACTCTCATCACAGTTCTAAAACAGGATGTTCCTCACAGTTCCGTTTAAGGATGACATCGCTTTCGATCTACTGAATAGAAGGCTTTCCGCTACAATGACAAGAACCTACCCATCCGGAAATCCACACGTTCTTGCTGAGACCACTCCATTTATTACTCAGCGCTTTAAAAGATTGCCAGCCAAGTCCGAATCTTAGGTGCTATATCAATTTACTTGCGCCTGTGGTGCTGAGTACCTCGGGCGCCGATCGACACGGATGGCTGAGCACCGTCCCGGGTCTCTACGGAAAGCACTACCGGAAGTATCAGGAATTCCACCCTTGAACGTCTAGTTCAAAGTGGACATGAAATTCCGACCAATGATGCTTGCAAGGTTTTCTACACTGTGCCAAGACGATATCCTAAGGGGTTTAATAGACGCCTCCTTAAAATAGCCGAATCGAGAGCGATCAAGCTAACGCAACCAGCTTTACAAGCAGAGAATGTTTTTGCAACTTCTCACGTTGTCACGGCGGTGACGAGGCTCTATCCGTATAGGACATTGATGATGACCGATGATCGGGTGACCTAGTTTATTTCGTGAAGAGGTCAGTGTCAACTGGGGTCATATGAATACTGAATACTGGTTCGAAGCAGCGAGTAGAGCTTTCTCTGTGTAGCTGCATCATTCGTCGCTCTTGGACATATACTCCTTATTTATCGTTCCGCTCTCTAAATTTTGCCTCTGCAAAGTGTTTGTCAAGGAGCTTCTTAAATTCTGACACTGTGTTCGCCTCTACTATGTGCTGTGGCAGGTCGTTCCAGACATTCACCACTCTGCGTTCGAAACAGAGTTGGTGAGCGACCCGCTTCAGCTCCGGTACGATAAGTTTATACCGGTGTCCTCGCGTGCAGCTTGGTGTGCGCAGATGAAGCAGTTGTCTCAACATGGGGTAATCACTCAGATGTAATATCCGGTGCGTCATGATGAGGTCAACCCTCAGTCGACGATAAGCTAGGGTGTACAGCCCTAGTTTCTTACATCGGTCTTCGTATGGCATACCTCGTAAGTTGGGAATCAGCCTGGTGGCTACATGCTGCACCCGCTCAAGCTTTTCTACCTCGCCCCGGGTGATAGGACAATACGCGGGAGAGCCGTACTCTAGCATTGGTCGTATTATCGAGACGAAGAGACGAGTGGCAATCTCTTCGGACCAAGTGCTGAAGCTGCGCCTGAGGGCCCAAAGCATCCGAAGGCTGTTTTGGTACAGCCAGTTCGTATTGTCAATGGACTTTAGGTCGCAGCGTGAGAGTACACCGAGGTCGCGCACGAAAGACGCGGGATGCAACGGTTGACCAGCCACTGTGTAGGTTCGGCTGTGCTCACACTTACCGAACCTCATAAATTGCGACTTGGCAGAGTTGATTGGAGGGTTAACCTCTGCAGACCACGTGGAGAGGCGGTCGAGGTCCTGCTGAAGCAAATCACAATCATTGAGTGTGCGGATTACTCTCCACACCTTGAAGTCATTTGCGAACAGCGCACAAGGTGATTGGAGTAGTTGAGGCACATCGTTTACATGGATCAGAAACAAAATCGGCCCCCGTACAGTGCTTTGGCGCACGCCACTGCACGATGGATACCAGTCGGTTAGATGGTTGTCCACCTGGACATCCACAGCACAGGCTCCTACCACCTGAGCTGATCAACGTAACTTCCGTTCGAATAAATTGAGTAAATTCAGACTGTCCACAACTTTCGCCGCGGCTTTCATTAGCTTATGCTTACCCCAGTTATCGTTGTAAATATATTTACTAGATCAAGGGTTGCTGTAAAAAACATTTTTGCAACCGCGTTTTCTTACATTTTAAGTTTGTTTTTCGTATGCCGTTTTTCGTTTTATTTTCAGTGTCCGGTGCATTAAACATGTGAATCAATACAATTCTGTATACGATTCTTCTACTGATTCCGGTTACGGACCATGTCTTCAAGAGTGTTAATCCATTGACACTCTTCATCCTTGGGTCCTCATGCAAGAAGACGTACGGGTGCAATAGCTGCTACACGCAACGTCGACAATTTCATGTGCTAGCGCCAAGTGGAAGGCCGACCACCACGCGGTCGCCTCCAGCCAAGTCCTTGAAGAGTGAATAGAGCGCAACGCAGTACACGCTCAGGTGCTATGCGTAGGACGTGACTGAGCCACCACAACTGGCGCAGCAAAACCAGTTTCTTGAAGGGAATACTCGCATTCCCCAAGATGCAACGTCGAACGGCATCACTGTGAACTCGATGTTGCCACCAAACAGGAGCGATCATCTTTAACCAAACGCTGTCGGAGGCAAAAAGACCACGTGTTTTTCAAGCGATTTGGCCAGCACTCGCTCCCATACAACAATACTGAACGAACAGATGCGCTGTAGACACGGCCCTTTAGCGAGAATGAGACGGCCAGATAACGCCACAAGTGCCTCGGATTGACAAATGTTGATTGTGCTTTAGCGATGTGAAGAGAAACTCCGTTGCTGATAGTGCCGTTAGTATAAACAGCTTCCAAGGTGGATGAAACTAACAACCAGTTCAAATTGTGCATCTTCAAGGGTGAGTACGGGAGCAGATGTGGGCCAATTTTGCAGCAACACTTTAAAATTCGATGGATGGAAGCACATTCCGTAGTTATTTGCTTCAATCGCCAAACGATCCAGTATGTGTTGCATACGCTGTGGATCGTCCCCAAGTAAGCCGATATCATCGGTCGCGCGCTCACCCGGTAGAAGCTCTAGGCCAAAATGTTGGAAACCCTCTAGATCTCTCGACAGGACGTCTTCGATTGCGAGGTTGAAGATGAATGGGCACATATGGTAATCATGTCTCACACCGCTATTGACAACGAATTGCGAGGAAAGCTGGCCATAAACCCTCACTCTGTCGGGGATAAAATGCGCGCTATACTTCACTGACACCCGGTGCTCTAACAAGCAACGCCATAAAGCAGGTCGGTCGACCAAGTCAAATACAGCCCGTATGTCTTGGAATGCAACCATGATACGCCTCTGGTAGTGATGGCGGTGTACGAGAATTTGGTGGAGCGTTCACGGGACGGAAACCAGCTTGTTCTTCAAGGCAGTTTGATTCACGTATCGGGGATAGTCTACAAAGAATGGATGCCAATAGCTTGGAGGCAAATGGAACAAGACTAGTCCCGCGATGATTGATACATGAGGAGGGAGTGCCTTTTTGGAAAATCGGGACAATAACTAATTCATTCCAAGAGGAACGCACTTTTTCATCACGGCAGAATTTTGCGAACAAAGAGGTCGGCTGATTAATGATTGCCACGGCGCCGTACCTGAAAAACTCCGGAGAAAGTTCGTCTGAGCCGGCAGCCATGAATCGCGTTCAGCGTCGAATCTTGAGGTAGACTTCCGCTTCACTTGGTGGATCAGTGGGACGGGCCAGAGTAGGCAACAAGGTGTGCTGCGTGCACTGGTGGACGGTGGAAGCCAATTGAACTGCGAGTGAAAATGCTCGGCCCAGCGGTCCAAACGCCTTTGTTGGTTGCTGATCGGAGACTCATCCGCCTCGCAAATAACCTGATTGACACCAGGCTTCCTGAGGCCAATGGACCGAATGGGTTGGGGAAGCTTGCGAGTATTGCCAGAGAGGGCAGTGCTCTCCATCTCTAAAACACGCTCAGAGCAGCATGCCTCGCGATCCTTGCGTAGGTTTTGCTTGAGCGGCCGGTTGGCAGAACGGTGTCGCTCTCTGCAAGCTGATTCCGCCGGGATATCGTTGGGGCGGTCGAACACATTCAGAGAGCGAGCAGAGATCCAAGTCTTTAAGGGGTGTCGAGCTAGGCCGCAGCTGGACTATCCGGAAATGGTCATCGCTTTCTGCATACAAGTCCAGTGTTGCTCCGCCTCTTGCGGTGGATTGCAGCTGAGTGTGTATATGCCAGTGCAGACCCATAGCTCGCATGGACAGAGGAATCAGTTAATCTGTTTACATCAATCTTGCAGTGCTTCGTTTTGCGGGACCCCCAAAACATGCAGATTTTCGCGCAGACCAGTGAATGATCGGAGTCAACGAGGGTGGGCCAGAAGGACTTGCAGTCCAATACGCTGACAGACCATCTGAAGTTAATTGCAATGTGATCAATTTGAGACCACGGTTGTGTTGGCGATGGGCGACGCCAGGTTGCAGAACGCTTCTTCGTACGCCTGAAGTTAGTGCTCGAGAGAAACAGATGGTTGTCTTCGCACAATGTGAGCGGTCCTCGTCGACCGTGCGATAAACACCAAGGTGGCGTTCGTATGGTAATAGGCGGCCAACGCGTGCATTAAAATCCCCAGCAAGGACAACGACATCCGAAATTTTAGCAACTCAAGAGCTGATGTGGCTCCCGATAGAAATCGTCCTTGACCGAGCCACTACTGCAGTTAGTTGGAGTGTACGCGATCACAAACATGTTGTGTCTCTCTTTGCGGCGCTTGTTGATTCCAGCTGAATCCCGAAGCCGAACTGCACACAGTCGGCTGTTAATCGGAACCAATCCAGTAGTGCCGCCTCGATTATGCCACTTAGTGCTATACCTACACCACGCAAACCTTCCGAGGCTGCTTCTAGGTCTCCAGAAAGACATAGGATATCTGGCTTCGTGGTTAGTGGTGGATGTCAGCGTAAGCACAGTGCTGGGATCTTGCAATCAAGTTTCGAAATGCAGCAGAAGTCGACATGGACGGACTCCAGAGTGAGTGCTAAACCGGTTTACGGCCCAATCTACTTGAGTGTACGTAGGTTGAAGCAAGTCAGACGGAACGAGAATTGGAGTCAAAGTTGAACTCCATGGTTGGCAGTACAACTGAGATCGCAGACAGAATGATGAACAGGAATAACAAGGAGTGTTAGTAAACAAGTGGCGTGCGATAGTTGAGTAAATGTAAGAAGCAGAAGCAGTAACAGGTGAGCACATTGTAGAACAGTTCATGGCTTTTGGCACCGGGCGTGATACTACTCGGTTGCACAAGCCGAAGTAGGGAGTTGACTTAGGGGACCCCACTCCGAACTTTTGGCTAAATAGCCTCTTTGCAAGCCAGCGGGGCGAATCCTGGGAATCGCGCCCACTGAGAGTCAGCAACTGAATGCTCGGCTCATAACTCTCGTTTCTTCGGCTACGAAACAGGGGCCCAATCATCACCACCACGATTTCAGCATACGATTTCTGGAATACAATGTTTCACCAGAGTAAGGGGCGGTGACTGTATTTAGTGGCGAGTCACATCCGCCACGTCACAGTGTTATTAAACAGATAAATGTGGCATTTTATAGGGAAAACGCTTGTCAGGAGATAAGCCACCACGTCCTGGAACACTGCCGCTGAACCCTTCGCTGGAACGGGATACAGTGGAACCACTCAGCTGGCACCACGATGAGGTTGCTCGGCAAGCCAGCCCAGTACGCCGGCACGCAATATCGAGGCTTCGCTACCACGCAACCATCACCAGTCGCACGTGGGCTAAGGATACTGCGACGGTCGCCCTGTCCCTTTGTACGATCCAACTCGCGTCCTCGGATTGTGATCCTTAAGACTATGTGCCGGCATGCAGAAGGAACTCGGCATTGTTAGTTCCATACAGTGATTGATAATAAAAGCAACAGTAACTGCTCGACGGGATTCGAAAGACTGGAAAGAACAAGTGGAGATCCTGTGGTTAACAGTACTAATAGGGATACCACAGACCAAGGTCGCAGAGTTGTGCATGACTCTGCAGATGTGTGCCTAATGCGTCTCAATATCTAAGCATAAGGCACGCTTGAGGGTAAGGCACCCTTATAAGCGCACGGAATATTTAGGACAGAAAGTCTAGTCGAATCGCGCAGAGCCGGCTGTTAACAGGCATCCAGTCCAGAAAGCCAGCATCAGCACGTGTGCTCAACGTAATTCCCACGTCATCACGACCAGCTGCTTCGGCAGTTGAGTCTCTAAATAGGTGCAATGTGGAAATGCCAGTGGAGCTCGCAGACGGTGAAACTAGCCGTAGCATCGCGCGATTGGGCGGAGTACCCTCGGGTCTAAACTCTTGATACGTGTAGCGATAACTCTCGCCCAATGCGTTACAATGTGGTGGAATGGAAAATGGATAGTAATCACCAAGGATGCAAAATGTTATAGCGCGGGGAAGAAAATTCCACCACTCCCCGTGGTTTTGTGAGTTGGATCGGTCGCGGAGGACCGATGGAATGGCCAGCGCGGTCACCGGATCTGAATCCCATGGATTTTTTCATATGGGGATAATTGAAGCGTAGAGTTTGTAGAACAAAACCCAACAGCCCGGATGAATTGAAAGAGAACATTGTGAGTGAATGTAGCCGGATTTCGTTGCAAAAAGGGCTCGCTAACACCATCCAGTGGATATTGCTCTGCAGCCAAAACGACGGAGGGTACTTCGAACAGCAAATTCGTTGATATTTACAGACATTTCACACATATAAAGTAAGGAATAAATGTATATTTTCGACTGCAAACGAGAAACACAATCGAAAGCATGACCAAATTGTACAATAAGCAATTATTTGACTGTGAGGGCAATAGTTGCATTCATGACTAAATTGGTATTCTGCCTAATGGTGTCAATAGTGCATCGGGGCAGACTGAAATCTAAGAGCATTGTCGAGTCAAGTCAAGAATTCGTTTCTGTATACCACTGAAGGGTGAATTTTCAGTTGTAGCACACACGCGATCAAAACGATAAAACGAACATGACTGTAATCTTAGAAAATGCTCCTGGCAGTATGATTCCCCTTAGCAGAGAAAGCATCCTAATGAAAGCTTCCGGATTCGCTATAAGCCAGTCATGAGGCTATAACAGGTTTTTCGCGATTATCTGTTGCTATGTAGCGTGGTAGTAACCGGCACCCATCGGTCATTGCATAGTGCCAAGGCTGTTCTTCTTAATTACAAGAACAGCGAGCCACTAGTCATTTCGCAGGGATCCCCTTTGCTGGATTTTTCACCTGGGTAAAAGACGACTACCAATCGACCGAATCATGACACGTCCAGTGCGGCTTCGGTTCCCTTTGTGTGCTCAGGGATCGTAGACACACAAGTCCCGCCTCTGTCTTATCTCACCCCTGCCGACATGTTCAGCAAAGGAATTTGCGCCATTGGATAGTTGGCAATTCAGCGTGCCGGGGTACATCAGCACGTGAGCGCAGCCGCATCTAGTTTCGGACGTAATTAATAAAACACCCAGGTAAGAGAAAGGCACAGGTACGTATTGAAAGACAACTACTGCACACCAGCAACGTAAAAATTGCTTTCAGAATAGTTTCTAGAGTCAGGCTTTCAAAACGCTATTCAGAAAAGCAATGGCAATAAGGCATGCGTTTGTTTAAAAAAAAGCTTTTAATCCCTCATTCGCATGCGAGAGCGCATTTTCATCGCTAGCACTATCGTCTGAAACCGTAGTTGAGAATAGTAAGTTGTGCTATCGCTGGATTGTCCAACCCGAGTGGTAGAATCATGAAGGAAAGTGGATTAGTTTAGAAAAAAGGTTAAGGAAAATAACATTTTAGTCGCGTCACATTTCGTGGTTGTGAGCCAATAACACCAGTAGCGTTGACAAGAATCAAAGTTGTGGTGTTCGATTCCATAAACACTATCGAAAAACTACAAAAGCATTTAATACCACTGACCTATCTTTGCGCTTTTGTTGCGCTTCCAGTTGTTCCAATCGCTGTTCCAGACGACTCACTTTCTCCTCACTTCCTTTTCCGGCGTTTTCCAGACGTTTTTCTGCCAAACTCACCCGAACGGACATCTCGCTGAGTTCGCTAACCTTAGTCTTGAGAGACAGCTGCAGTTCGCGTAGCTCTTCTTCTTTACCTTCGAGTTTCACACGACAGCCTTCCAAATCGACTTGAGCTTGCTTGTGAGCGGCCGCACGTAAAGCATAAGGCTCATGGGGCTGTGGTAGATGAAGACGGAATGACGTAACGGAGTTTGGTTTTTCTAGGTGTGCACAAATTCCGAGTCTATAGAGAGCAATGAGCGATGACAAACGCAATCATTTCAGAATATGAGCGTGATGACCCATGTCAGTGGAATTTTTGGTTAGCAGGTTGCCGGTTGATTTGACATCTAGGTTCGGCAACCGAATCAGGTGAGTAGAATGAATGAATGCCGCTTCTCAGGCCATCATCGCAAAGATATATCTGAGAACGAATGGCGCTAACATGAGGAAACGATACAGCGATAGAGGTAGTTGCAGCTGTCAACACACGTTTCTAGATGCGGAGAGTGGTAATGAAGAATACCATACGCCCATGAAAATGCTTTCAGGCTGATGGCCGAATGGATGGGGCCTCTGTCTTGTAACCGAAGGTCGCCAGGTCGAATCTGCGTAGGCGCTGATGACCTTGTAGAACTGATAGCCCGTGGGGGACTGACAGCGATCACGCCGCAGTGAAGCATCGGTGCGGCGTGTTGCTGATGCCTTATTCTTCAAGAAGGCACTTGTCCTTTTGAGGTAACGTCACAAACAACGTTCTGCCGTTCCTGTGATAATCGGGGCAACCTAACAAGGAAAGAATCTTGCATTCCCAAGTGCATATAGTTCGTGTGGAGGATAATCACTGTGAATTTCAAGGCATCCCTGGAATACTACGTAAAAGTCCACCGAGATTTCATCAATGATTACGGGTCGCAATTCAAAGAAACGATGGGTACTTCAAAAGTCAACAATGAATTCCTATGCGATACCTTCGCAATCATGCCGGACACGTAGGGAAGATGTAGTGTCCAGACAAAATGCTGGTCTCTGAGTGAAACTAACTTTTGGTGGCTTGGTCCCATCAAAGTCGTATTCTCCGTTCTCCATAGCCACAGAGACTTGAGTGATTAAATGTCGCACTTTCTCAAGACTCGTTCGGATGTATGCGTCAGGCTGAATGAGACCGGTGGCGCCGCTGCCAGTCCAGTTTTCCTTGCAAGCCTCACCGAGACAGTCCTTGAACACCGTAGTTGATTTCAAATACGAAGATTCATCCTTGTTGAAACAAAAAAGCTTCATTAGGTTTGGAGCTGTGTACACAGAGTTTAAGGTAGTTAAGAAACAAATACAGTGTTCCTTCAGCGCCGTTAACATGCGAACAGTCGAGGACAGTTGGGTTAAATGATTGCCGGACCGTTTAGTGATAATTGAGCCGATGCGAATTCGATAGCTCAAGGCACGTGCGGGTGGTCGGTGTGAAATAACATGAAACAATTTCGAAAAGGTAGGAGAAAGAGATAAAGCATGGTGGTCAAACAATCTGCGACACCTAGGGCATTCTGATAAAATAAGGCAAGGGAGAGCAGAAAAAATTGACTTTTTTTCTGGTGAATTGAATAAAGTTATGAATGATGAGTGTTGTGATCAGACAGTGTTAGATGCATGGGTTTTGTGAAGGAAATGGGGTAACAAATAATACAGAGCATGAAAGTGGAACCACCGGTAGCGCAGGGTTCGGCTGAAATCGGCGAAACAGGAAGCGGTGTCCATGCAAGATAACCGCAAATCAGAGTTAGGGTACACGCACATTAGGATGACCTAACTAAAAGAAAAACTAGCAGGAAGTATAAGAAAAACTCAGAAAACGTGCATTACCTGTTGAGCCGCCAAAGAACCTGCTTTGCGAGTAGTTTCGCGGAGTGCGGTCGCCATGCTGGTCAATAAGGATAGTGCTTGGTCTAAATTGACAGCGACTTCGGGACCGAAAGACAGTGGCTGCGTGTTGCTATCTTTTGGTATTCGACGACGAATACGGCGAGTAGCGATGCGTGTAACGGTGGAGAAGGACACAACATCGGCCAACAGGCCAACCAAACCACCGACCGTCTGCACTGGTGTCGATTCCTCGCTTGGATGCACGGTGAGACCGACGGGACCACCGACCGAAGTTGCAGCCGCTGTGGCTGTCTGTTCCAGAGGTTCTAGTGACTAAAAAAAGAGGTTGATGAAGTGTGTCCCAGTATCACGAACATAACAATCGAAACATTTGAATATACGCAATCTCCAGTCGCTCAACAGTCGACAAATAAAAAGTGCACCAGTTGGATAGAATAAGGTGCTAAATTCAGAAAATGGAATTTTACCCACAAAATAGGTACACTTGCAAATGAGGTTACCTGGCTTAAACGAGGGGAACAGCGACCAGAAGGAACGAGTAGTGGAACAGGTAGATAATCGAGGCAAGTGTAAAATGCAAGTCAGCGGTTGGAAATGAGAACATGAATCGGCCTCGTGAACAGACAAACCACAGGCAACGCGACCACTAAAGAACGCCAAGTAACATAAACTAACAGGAAAGAATTTATTAAACAAGTTGACTAAATGACGCATAAACACAACATGAAGCGCACAAACATAGCCCTTGGGGTATGCTTTTGAATAGCCGATGCTTTCGTGCAGACAGAAAAAGACACGACAGAAAGCTCCATCTACCAACGATCGCAACATCAGCGGTGCGCGTAAGTAATTGCTGTTTGTCACTCAGGTAGCACTTGCATCCTGCTGAAAGACTTCGCGGCTCCCACAAAACTCATTGCCCGTGCAGAATTTTGCAGAATAATAGTGTGTGCATGATTTGGCGGCGTCCGTATCCGGATTTGCCTGTCACAGTGACGTCCATGGGGACAGTCACAGGACGCCTGCGCCTAAAAAGGGGACCATGGGTGGCTTGCGCTGCACCACCCATAGTTCCACCCACACACCCCATATCCAGTGTAAACCCGAAGGAATAAGACCGGGAGGCATGCGGATGGGAGCCACGTTTCATCAACGGAGCCGGCCCACACTCCTTCAACAAGCAGATCGGAAGCATTCCGGCCTAATTGGGAAACCATACACACCAGACGTACGCGAGGCGGTGGCTGGACCGTAGCCCGTTCCACACAGATTGCATGGAACCACTCTTTGAGCCTAGCACCATCACGAGGACGGTGCACTCCGTCCCCTCCAGCGACGACCAACTGTCTCCTGGAGCCAGTATGGACGAGGTAGTGGGTAATAGACAGGTAGGCACCTTGTCAACATTCACATCAGGCGCATCCACACAGGGGTGCTCAAGCAACTTCTACTTCTGAAATGCAAAATTACTCATCACGCAGGCAAACGTACCACATACGCCGCCTTATTGGCCTGGATTAGTAAATTGAATGGGAACATACTCATGGTGCTTCTATTCCACATACTATAGTGCCTTCTCCGGCACCTAAGAAACCGCCCTTTTGAGTAGCTCACGGAATTCGCATCGATCAAATTTGCCTTGGATTCGCAACACCTGAAATCAACATGAGTTTGTCATAAACTCACCTTCCTCATGTTCTGGTAATATTATTTTCGGTTTGCTCGAATGTCGTTCTACTGCACTAAGTTAACCGTACAAAAGCGGTATGAAGATCCTCGTGGAATTCATTCGGTATACATATATACATAGATTGGCGTCATCTGTGTCCAATGGCAGTTCGAATGCAACATATGTACATGCGTTTATCCAAACTTAAGTGTGAGCTGTCACAAACTGCATAGAGGCACATTAGACATCATCATCAATGGTATGACAAACGTGTATGGGTTTCGTTTGGAGGTCAGGCTAACAGCGACTTTCGCAGGTATGAGAATAACTACCCAATACGAACTGTTGATGTTTTCTTCTACCTTTAGACGTGACTGCCTTAAATTTTGGGCATCCATATTTGAAGGAATCCGATGTGGCAATAGTAAAGCAACTGCTAGGTAGAATGATGACTAGACTACTGGTACAGTGAAATAGTGTGCACTTAGGTGTTGCCCTCTACATGTACAGTCTGGTTTGAGTAGCTGATGTGGGAGATCACACAGCATGTGAATGCGATACAGTGTCCACTTCTGTGTGCATAAAGGGGCAGCAAACTACAGTCGACCGGCCAAAACAAATGCGAAAGAAGCAACAGTGAAAGGGAACGAACATAACGTCCAAGTTGTGAGCGACAACTACGAAAGATGTGACAAGACGAAGCCGATTTAGTGCAGGTTTTGATCAGCCCCGACTAGTGGCAACAATACTAAGCAATTCGAATACAAAAGAACAAGATGCTGGACTTATTCTTAGGTTGGAAGACGACATTTCATTAGGGAAAAATTTGAAATGCGGCCGTGTGCTTAAAGGACCTTGAAAATGTGGCGATAGTCACCCTAGCTTCACTCCCGAGATTCCGGACATTGATACGAACTGGTAAAGTGAACATGATAAATAGATAATACCCGTCGCAACTGAACTGAGCCAGAGACATTAACGCCGGAAAACTCAGTTTCGATTCCAGTAAATTCAGCACCGGTTGCTAGTTGAACACTAGGAGTTAGCGCTCAAACACTGAGAAACGGATCCCAGCGAAAGCCAAGGAAGTCAAGGGACAGTTGCGATTTAACGCTGTCAGCAATGATCTGCAAACCAACACGCACACCACTGGCCCCATGACAGCTACTCAATGGGAGGCTGCCAAACACAGTGAATGAAGAATGGGTGTGATAGCCCAATGGCTTTGGGTCCTCGTCCTTGTGGTATCTATCTAGCCCTGATCAGACTGGCGTTGATAAATCTGGACACACGGTTAGGGGTCGTGGAGTAGCATGTAACGGACGGAGGAGTACGAAAAATTTACTTCTCATGCAAGCAGATGGAATAGAAAGGGGCTAGACAATTATGCCAAAAGTTAAACAATCCTACTCTTGACAAGTGACTCCATACTACGTAAGGTTAAAAACTCCGATGCGGTGGCTATCGGCAAAGATTCCCAGACAGGAAGGTTGAACTTTGGTAGTAAAATAATAATAAATGATGTAGCAGCTGTACGCCGTAACGGTGCTTCTCCGCCGCGTGTGGGCTGAGTATGCCGTGAGGACGCTCGCCCCTACGCGGATTCGAACCGGTGACCTTATGATTGCAAGCCAGGCGTACAGACCACTCGCAAAGCGGTAAACTATTGGAGTGCATACCACACAGAAAGCTACTAAACACCTCCCAGCTTTGTCTAATGATAATATATCATGTGTAGCATATGTAGATAAACAACGTATTCGGATAAAACCGAGAGTAATGTGTCTCACTTGTCCTGTGAGGATCATCAGCGCAGCAGCATCAGTGGACAGTGCATCAACGGAAGCGAGTACGCACTGAACGAAACTTAGCAACTTGCTCGAGCAATCCCGCGTTGGTTCTGCTGTCATGTGCACCGAGCGTAGCTGGATGAAATAGTCCAGTGATGCGGAAAGTGGTTCCAAAGAAGTGTTCTCATCCAACTGATCTTTTCCGGCCAGATCCAGCAGACGATCAATCGTTATTTCGTGCGCAGCCATCTCCGAGTACAAAGAACCAATTTTCAAATAGAGCTCGACACTACATGTAGACATCACCCTGAAAGGAGAGAATGTAACGAATGGAGAAGTGGGAGAGAATTACCTAACAAGTGAAGCGAGTTCGTAGAGGATGGTGGGGCAACCAAAATAAAAATAAATGGGAGATAGCTGTGAAAAATTGCAGGCATAAAGTGACCTTTTACTACACGACAAGGGTGAGATATATAATGAGCTCACTATACATTCGAACAGTATGCCGTGAAAGATTTATGAGTTGTGGCTCGGATGATCACTGCTCAGTGGGAAACCAAGTAACGCATCGGATGGAGAATAGGTCCTCGTCTTTGTGGTATCTAGCTGGCCCTGATGAAGCTAACGTTGGTAAATCCTAAGGTACACGGTTGGGGGTTGCGCAGTGACATGCAATGCAAGAGAAATGAATTGGGCACAGTACCCGCGTTTGCTATAAACACTGCAGCTAGCGAATGGGACCGTGCTTGAGTGAGTTGTACAGTATGATACTAATTAACCGTTTGTAAATTGAACTATGTTTCAATGAGCAATTTGGTCGACAACTAGCCTTCGCATGAGTACAGATTCGCGGATGATGTCAAAAGTCGACGAAATGTAATCACACAACATGAGTTGAGTCAACACAAGGCTTTGTAAACTGTGTCAGTTCTCATCTTCGGCCCGCGTAGCCGTTATACATTGGCCTACAAATTGGTTAACTTATGACCCAAAAGCGAGTGGCGTCGGATACGAGGTCATTTTGGGAGCGCATTACTATCTGGTAACCTCGAGCGCCTTTTCGAAGTATCATCTGGGAGGATAGGTGCGCTTATAAAAACCTCAGAAATCACTGGGCAGGTGGTTAACGCACAGCACGATGGAAGTTGAAATATCAGTGTGGCGTATGTGCATCGTAAGTGAAAATTAATGGAGAGGACATAAACAACAAAATTTAACAGCCTTAGTGAGAATACTGGGGGCGTGGATGAGCGTAGTCCTGTTCTCTAAGTTGGGCATTTCCGTTGCGGACGTTTCGTTGCCAAGCTAAGCAACATGCGCAGTGCGGCTATCAAGTCCTAATTCGCAGTGTCTCATAAGCCACTGGCAAACTCGAGTGACTATTGATCGTTTCCTGCTTTGAAAGTTAGTCTTCGATTGGCTCACGTGGGTCGGCCGAGTGATCACTTCTTCTCCCTGTCGATCTGGTGCCTGTTGCTGACTTAACCTGCAAAGCTTCGTAGACACCCTCTAGCTCCAGGTTCTTGTAAACAGGGCTAACACCCTAGAGCTGGAACGGATAGAGTGGATGCACGAGAATGAATTTGAACAGTAAGTCAATGTTCCGACCAGAAGTTGTATCGGGAGTTTCCTCCATGTTGAATTTTGTCATCGCCAAACATGGTCCCCTGACAGAGCCGCATGTGGAGGCACCTGTAGGTAAGAGCGATCATTGCGTCCTTACCTTCTCCCTGAACGCACCGCTTGCAAGGAATCCTCGATTCGTGAGAAATTTCAGTCGGATTGACCGGATAAAATTAAGAGACAGGGCTCTCCAGGTAAGCCAGATTCTTGATCAGGAACAGGCATCTTCGGAACGGAGGTGGCTTTTGAAACTATTGAATGAATTTGTTTCCCATCGCCCTGCGAGATATTTCGGTAAGCCTCACTGGTAGAGGAGGAAAACCATAGAGTGCTAAGGAAGCGTAATAATAAGTGGAAAAGGTTCCAAGAATCCAGAGGGCTTCCGACGATGGTTGCAGCACAAAAAATGGCGGAATACGGCTGACAATTTACAACGGCAGGCAAAATACTTATGAGCTTAGGTTGGTCCTACTTACGAAAACAAATGTCAAGTCAAAAGCTTCTTTAAGACAGGGAGTTGTTTGTCCAACCATGGAAGATGGCAGTCAGGCTATAGAAGCCGGGGATAAAGTGGAAGTCCTTCTGCGGGTCTTCCAGAATCTGCATCGGAGGGATAATGGGTGTGCTATACCATCGCGGCTATATTGTGCAAGCAGTCATGTAATGCGGGACATCATTCTGACTAATTTGAACCTCTTCAAATCAGCCGGTCCTGATAATGTACGCCCAACAATAATCAAATCACTAGATGATATTCTTCAGCATCCTGTCACGGAATTATTCAACTTGTCGCTTCAGGAATGCAAGTTACCGCGAGATTGGAAGGAGGCACTCATAGTTGCGATTCACGAGAAGGGGCTCTAAATCGGCGCCTCTTGACTATGGACCTGTCAGTCTAACCTGTGATTTGCGTAAGTGCTCAGAGAAGCTTATAAGAAACCGGATTTGTGAGCATGATCGAGGATAGTCTAATTGGAGCGGAACAGCATGATTTTATTAAGACGAAGTTACGTCTCATTAACTTATTATGCTTTCTAGATGAGATTACTCGGTGCCTTGATGACGGCATTCCGGTAAAGGTGTGCTATCCTCAACTTGAGTAAGGCTTTCAACTCAGTTAATCACCGTTTGGTACTTGAGAAATTGACATGGTTTGGGTTGCATTCCAACCTTCTCTCTTGAGTGTCGGAATTCTTGTGTGGGAGAGCATCTTAAGTTAGAATCGTTGATGTGAGTTCTCGTATGAGCGTTGCCTACAGTGGCGTCCCCCAGGGATCGGTACCAGGTCCACTATTGTTTCTTATGTTTACAAACGAACTGGCCACTCTTCTCAAAGACCCCTACTATATTATTGCAAATGAAATAAAACTGGTCAGCAGAATAAACCGAGCAACAATGACCTAAGATATCATCATCGTGGTTAACTGATTGTCAAAAAATGTCAACCATTAACCAATAGTGAAGACGGGATTGCAGTTCAGACTTTCTCTTTGCAGAGCACTAACCAGGCACGTGCTTAAAAGGTCACTGTGGTGAGCAGTTTCAACTTCCGGTGCAATGTCGATATGCTACCAACAAAGCGCGTCAAGAATCGTTTCGCCTCGAAAGGGCACTGTGCAAAACCAAGCCAGAAGTTCTCCTACCATTGCACAAAGCAGTGGTTAGGTCACATCTGGAGTACTGTGTTCAGGCTTGGTCGCCCTATCTCCGTGGTGACGTTATTTGCATGGAACGAATTCAGAAACTGGCAACCAGGATGATGGGATGTCGTATGAAAATCGCTTAGAGTTGTTTTCCCTGGAGCAGCGTAGACTGAGAGGCGATCTGATAGAGACGTTTAAAATAATGAAGGGCCTCAGTGGCATCAAGCTTACTGATTTGTTTGAGCTGGTTGCTTCTGACTACTCGCGCGGACATTGTTTGAAGCTTAGGCGAGAGTGCTAGATTGGACATCAGGACGGAGGAATTTACAAACCGTGTAGTACGCAGTGAAATAAGCTACCTTCTGAGTTGATGGGCCGCGACACTGTAGTAGGCTTCAAAAACATCCTACATAAGTGTCGACCATTAATAATAATAATAATAATAATAATAATAAGTATGTTGCTCTTGATGATAGAAACTCTGCCCGGAACGACAGATTAAGTTATATAATAGTATCCATGCTCCTCCATGTGCAAGATGCATGGGTGAAATAGGGGGGTATACATTTTATGTAGTTACGTTCTGGTGAATGGTTGAGGCGAAAGCCTAGTTTTGGGAACACTGGTGTTTAGATGTTTCTGGGTCCCGCTTGCAAATGCTCATCGACGGCTTTTCCCATGTGAATATAGTGATTATTGAAACTAGATAAGGTAATTGGAGAGTTTGCTACGAAATGTTGTCCCATTATAACACGATCTGAGTGTGATTGATAGTTTGTTCCACAGACAGCTATATCTGACTACGGAGAAATTAGAGCGAAGGTTCATTCTGGTCTGTGGCATATTCAGTGTAAAAGCTTTATTGAGAAGCCTTCGAATTGAGTTCTGGTGTAGTCCGAGTGTATGCCGATCGGAATAGGGTTCTTCGGTGTAACAGGTTGAAAAGCAGCAACAAGCTGTGATTCAATCCTCGAGTCCAAAGTCGTTCGAATTGAAGTTTGCTGCTTGTTTGTTTCTCGATAACTCATAGCAGAGTGCTTAACAATCGGGTGTTTCGCAGCAATTTTGTCACCCCTTCTCCTATTGCCGTATAATATGCTGCGGTATACCAGGATGGGGCGAGTGAGTAGCTTGAACAGCTGAATCTAGCATGAGTGTTGCGGATTTTGTTGGATATATTGAACAAATTGTCTGGCACGTGCCACTTGGTATTGGGCCTGTTCGAGGAAATTGAAGATAGATGAGTACCTAATTCCGAGATCATGCGTAGACAGCTATGTAAAGACGCGTTCATTGTGTAGAGTGATAAATCCTTCGGGGATGCAGCAGCCGTAAGTCATGATGCTTGATTTCTTAGCCAAGAGGTTCATCACCCACGAGCGGCATCACGAGGAAAGGGAATGTAAGTTGTTTTGAGTAAGCAGCAGCAATCCGTGAAGCATATCACGCCGAAGCTTAGATACGATCTGGATATAGTCTGCAAATAAAAATGGCCGTCCATGTTTTGTAGATGTGGTGTGGTCATTGACGTAGGGTAGAAAGTGTGAGGGACCGAGTAAGCTCTCTTGGATGACCTCACTGGTGATGGGCCGTGGAGAAGAGAGATAGTCACCTAAAGTGACTACCTGGTGACGACCACTCAGGTATGATGATAGCCAACCTAGTAATGGGTCTCGGATCCCAAATGCTTCAAACTTTGGTAACAACCGCTATGTGGTACTCGGTCGAATGCTGGGCGTAAGTCCAGAAACAGAAGTACAACTGCATAACCGGAATTGATCTATTCTGAAACGTGGTTCAGTTAATGCAGTTGGCAAGTAGTACACGATCGCTTGCCAAGAAAAGCATGCTGCGAAGTATTTATCAGGTCTAAAGAATCGACAAAGTTCATCAGCTACTTTCTCATTAGTTTTCACATAGCCGAGCGATTATTGGAGTGTGGCGGATTGGTCGATCGTTCGTTTGGCCTCTCATTCGTGCCGAGGCATGATAAATGACGTCTTCCATTGATTTGGAAAGTGGCTAGATTCTAGTGATAAGGTGAGCATGCTCATCAGGAAAAGTGCTATAACATGCCATTCCCAGTTTAATGGTGGTTGGAGAAATGTCATCAGATTATAAGCTGTACCCACGGACGCCGCAAAGCTTTGAAGCACCGTGTGCTGGATACTACTTTTGCTTCGGATTACTGTGTTAGCAGTGTTTTGCTGTGCGAATTGTGCACAAATATTCTTCTTTTGGTGTATTTTCCAATCGGTGCAAATTTGGTGGATATTCTTTGGATAATTCCGGAGATCATATTGATTTGCCCTACTGCATTCTCTGTCCGCCATCTTGGATTTGCCCTACCTTGTGATGTCGTCTCAAGCTGCTTGTGGTTCGTGTTCGAAAGTTGTGGGACATAAGCACATGCACTTCGGCTGCGATGTTTTGCGCCATATTTCGGGCATTCGCTTATCCGTTGACGTGTTTCGAAAATCTCTGGACATCCGACATCGGTTTTTTCAAGTTACATGTGATAAATGTCGCGGTACAAGACATCAGAATACACAGCGACCGCCAACAACTACAGGAAAACCTCTCTTCCGGACAGAGACAAAGCGTTCACCACGTGGGGTCAAACGCCCTCATGAAAGTACCTGTCACTCCGCCAGCGTCTTCGACTTCGGCCGAGCCCCAGGTTCAATGTACCCCACCGATGGAAGACTCAGACTCAGAAGCTACGAAATGCCGCTTCACTGATCGATCCGTGAATTTCTCAGAACTTGTCTGTGAACTTCTGAACACCGAGGATCCATGGACCACTCAAAAGCGCAATGGGCCTCGTAATCTAGTTCAGGCATCCCCTGCTGATAAACAACAGCCCAAACAGATAAGCGTTTCTAGTCCTGCTCACCAGGACGTCATAATATGGTCTTCCACGTACCAGATTCAAAAGATGAAAGCCCTCAGATACGTTATGATCACGACGTTGAGTTCCTCCAGGAGCTCATCGATAGACTCTTGGATGTGGGTGAAGACAGTGTGGCGGTTAAACAAGTAATCCGACTTGGCCAGCAAACTAACCAGTCATATCAACCTCTGAGAATCACTTTTGGAAATCACAATATGCTGCAGCTCATACTGTCTCGACTGTCAACGCTGAAACGCATAAAAGTTCACATCCGTCGAGACTTGGAACCCGAAGACAGGGATCGTTTGAAGACTGCGGTCATTGAGCTCAAACGCCGTACAGAAGAAGGTGAGACTGATTTACAAATTGTAAATTTTCGGGTGATCAAGAAGGGTGTACGAACCAGTATCAACCGGTTGCTCAACCTCCAGGCACGTCCCGCGGTACCTCCCAGGACGTCCGTGTGGCATTCGCCAACGTGTGCAGCCTAAGGAACAAAGGTGACAAGCTATGCCGCTTCGTTTTCTCGGAGCGGCCGGACGTTGTAGGACTTGCAGAGACTTGGCTGAACTCCGACGTCATACTCCAAGAAGTTGCGTTGTCAGGATATTCTTGTTTCCGATGCGATCGAAAATCAAAGGCTCACAGCGGTGTTCTGTTGTACCTAAAATCGTCACTATCTGGCAAACTTACCAGCACCTACCGGAGCGAGGATAACTTATGCGAGCAACTGTAGTACACAATCCGCCTCAGACGCGCAAAACTAATAGTGGGCGTTATCTACCGTAGCCCATTAAACCGTTGTTGCGATTGGCTATCACATATACAGAAGCACATGAGCCGCCCTCAGCTCTTATTGATGGGGATCTAAATTTACCGAAGATATTCTGGCCAGATGTTCGGCTTCTTCCCGGTCATGGCAACGTTGAGGCTCAATTCGCCAAAATGATTATTGAAATCGGGGAATGCAACATGTCATCTAACTGACGCGCGTAACTCAGCACTCGGCATCTTGTCTGGACCTAATGTTTACAAGCTGCGAGCAGAAGCTGAACGAGATCAGAGTCCTGGAACCTCTGGCGAACAGCGACCACTGCTCTATTGTGGCCAGCATGGAACTGTCGTTACCGTAGTACAACCAACGGAAGCCGACATTCAAGTATTGGAAGACGGACTTCAACAGGCTCGTCCAAGCCGCAAGTCAGACTGATTGGACACTACAACATGATGCGTCGCTTGAGGCCTGTTGGTCATTAATGAAGGGGAAACCTAACTCGCTGAGTACTTGGTTCGTTCTTCTGAAGTATGTCAAAGTCGGACCTGTCAAACCGCATTGGTTTGATAGGGAATATAGATAGTTAACGCGACGGCGTTGCAAAATTTAGGATAGAGAGATCAGCTCGAGTTGTGACGAAGATTACACGGTGTATAAGAAAAAGCGAAACTGATGTAACGCCGATAAGATCAAGAAACGCCGGAAGTTTGGAATGTAGCTAGCATCCTCTGCTACAACTGTAGCCAAAAGAACAGTCGCCTACATGGAACGTCTACAGAAACCTGCGAGCGACCTACCGGCCTTAGAGATTAGAAGGACAAACGCTCATCACAAGCGCAGAGCGTGCGGACGCCTTGGATACGCACTTCCTCACCGTATTGTCCATTAAACTGGTGGCTGTTCCAGTACCGGTACAGGTTGCGCCAGTCTTACTCAAGAGCCTACAATGTGACGCAGTCGAAGTGTATCAGCTACTCGTTAACCTCGATGGTGCAAAGCCCCTTCGGACCAGACGGATTTCATCCACAAATACTCAAGTCCGAATCGACTATCATCTCACAAGCCGAGACAAACCTATTCAATAAATCACTTCCTGAAGGATATATCCCCAACGACTGAAAATGATTGATAGTGAGACCGCTTCCCAAGGGTTGTGATCCGAGTAAAGTAGAGAACTATGGACCGATCTGTTTGACTTCGATATTATCCAAAGTTCTCAAGAAGGTTGTGAAAAGTGTCAGTTGTCGTTCCTCGAATCGATGGATGTAGTGACGCCAGCGCAACACGAAAGGGTGATCCTGCATCACCAACTTGATGTACGCAAACCACCAGTGGGTACGAGCTCTCAACGAACGGAAGGATGTTGACGTGGTGTACATCGACTTTAGTAAGGCGCTTGACAGAGTGGACCACGGAGTACTTCTTTGTCAACTGAGGACCTACGGAATCGGTGGCACGCTACTTCAGTGGTTACACGTGTTTACTGTGGGACGAAAGTTTACAGTACAGGTCAATGGCTACCTGACAGACTGGTTCCCATCGACCAGTGGCGTGCTTCAAGGAACTGTACTTGGGCCAGTATTATTTCTAATTCATATCAACGATCTCCCGCAGCAGCTCCAGTCACCATGTGCCCTGTATGCAGATGGTTTGAAAATCTGGAGGATCACTGAGAACTAGAATGACCGCGCTCGCCTCCAACATGACTTAGATCGACTGTCAACCTGGTCCAGTGGAATGAAACCGTCTTAACGCAAGCAAGTCGGCGTGCATCAGTATCACTAGACGTCCAGCCACTCAATCATACACCTTGGACGGCCAATTGCTCCACCCTAACACATCTGTCAGAGACTAAGGAGTGCTCTTGCGATATGATATGAGATCATTAGAAAATACATAGAAATTGTACTGTGCGGGACTTCGTATGCTCTGGGCATTAAGACGCCACATGGTCCGAAGAAACCTTCCCTCGCCTATTCCCTTCGTTCATTAGACCAATCCTTGAATACGGCACCTCAGCTTACTATCCGATAACCTAGTGCGAAACTGAAAAGTTGGAGAAAATACAGGACATAGCAACTAGAATGATACTCGGTCTACAAAAGTTTCGGTATGAAAAATGTTGTGAAAGGCTCGGACTCTACACACTATCCTACTGCCGAGTAAGAATTGATCTTATTATGACCCATCGAGTACTAGACTTGAATCGCTTCCCCATAGTGCGGCCAATATTTCATCTGCGGGAACCCTGTAACACCCGAGGACACTGTTGCAAACTCAGGGTCCCCTGTGTGGACGAGGTATCACATCAGCTTTGTATAGAACGAAGAATTGTAAATTATGGAATACACCATCAGAAGGACGAATAGAAGCCGATTCTGTGAAGTGTTTCAAAACAAGTATCGACGATTATTTCGGAAACGTACTTTTGTGAAACGGTCTACATACAATGCCAAAAGAAGACATCGTATACCCGAAAATATGGCACCAATACGAATTCCTAACTGAAGAAGAATAGAGGAGAAACTGACCAAACACTGCCGTTGACGATTCGTAACTGAATGTTTTTGATTTTTCATAATTCCATAGCGTTGTACAGAAACCTTACTACTTGCTCTTAAATACATTCTCAGTCTCAGATCCTAGTTTGAAGGATGGCCTGACGGACTTGATAACTTGGTGGATACCGTTGAGCAAGATATGAACTCTGCTTCAGTGGTTGATTATTGGAACCTCAGTGTGGACAGGCACAGGGTCGACTTCGAGACTCGTGGAAGTGACAAAGAAGTCACTGTATGCTTCGAAGATTGCAGCTGGATCACGAAATAATTAGTTCTCATCGTCAACTGTTTCAGTAATCAGAGGAGAGCGGTCAGTGGTTCTATGATGCAATATTTTGAGAAATTGTTTCAATTTGCAACTTGTTCGTAGGGATATACATAATTTATTTTTCTGTTGTGTTAACTACGCACGTTTGACTCTGGTGGTAAATTTGTGCATTCGTGAGTGAAAAGTCACGGGCCATTTTGTATGCTGAAGCTGATTTTATGGTTTTTCGGATGATTGAGTGTTCGACATGAGGAATACGATCACAGTGTGGAGCAAGGAGAAGTATACCGTGGCGAATTTGATCATAAAACTGCTCCACAACAGTGTAGGCACTGGTAAAGAGGAAGAATACATCCCATTAAGAGAAACGGATTAGCTGCCGAAAGTATTCCCAGTTTATCATATGGGCTGCACGACACTGTAGAGGCGAGTTTAGTGACCATTATAATGTGGAAACTGAGTCGGATCATCTTATGGTCGGTGTCATGGAGATTGGCTAAGATCTCGATCTGGGGGTTGGGTATCCCCAGCGTGAATATTAAGTCCAATACATTGGCGGACCTGGTTGGACTGACAATCCATTGTGTCCAACCCCTACTCTGATGGAAGAAAGAAAACAGGCGTGCAAAGCAGACGTTGGGTGGGATGACCAACGGATCATCAGTAATTATCTACCGGCTGTGTGGCAACCCTTATGCAAAGTTTAATGCAGTAGTGATGTTGGTGATACTCAAGTTTCGCGTATTCGGTGGGTTGTAGATACAGGCGAGCAGTATGTAAGAGAAGGCACCTGCAACTGACAGCCAAATGGATTCAGCGATATTTTCCAACTACGAGTGGTCTTTAGATTTAGCTGTAAATGTTTTGCGTAGGTATATAATACATCCTCCACCTTTTCAGTCGTAGCGATCTTTTCGAAATAGGTGGTAGTTTGGAGTCATCAGCGTAGAGTCAAGTGTATCTGAAGAACACTATATTTCAGTGACGAAGATCGCTTGTGGGTCATTGAACTGTGCAATTGTGTTTATAAAATGAACTTTGTTGATTATGGATCTGGCATTAAACTGGACAAAATGGAGGAAGAGTGGTACCAAAATGTTGACCTCCGTCGCATGTATCTGAGGTGGGAATGGGTGCGAGTTCATTCCCGCCACTGTTAACAAAAAATTATTGGAAAAAGAAGCGTGAGAGGAACATGAAGCGGAGCAGGGGGTTACAATGTTTCATTGGCCGATGTCCTTCCGTTATCTGTACGCATCCAGTGATTGGTGTGGTGTGGGATGATAACTAGGCGCAGCCAAGAGACAGTTATTATTGGTCTTATTCAAAAGGGAAGGTTGTTTGCTCTGGTGGTTGTAAGAGATTGGTCGATAGGAAATTTCGTGCGCAACCGGGTATTTCGTAGCCATACGTCGTTCGAAGATACTGGGCCCTGGATTAGATAAGTCATCCGTAGGCAACAGTGAACTATGAATTACGTCAGATTGTCTATGCTTTGGTCGTTTGGACCGAATTGTGTTAAAGTCAGTGAGTTGTCATTGCACTATTTTTGGAGCAAGTAGACCTTTCCTTAATCCCAATACATAAGGAGTTTAATTTAATGGGAGTGTCGTTGTCAGGAGTGGGAGCA